AAATACCTTCCCTTACATCGACCCCCCTTCAGAGAGGGAGTTGCAGACACTGTGGAAGCAGTTAATGAAGCTGTGGTACAGAAAGTACTCCTCCCTGTTATGGCTTCAGTCACACCAGGAAATCCCAGTTGCAAGATGGCTGAGGAACAGAGGAATGAATGTGAAGGAGGCCTGCGATCGGTGTCAGTGGCTGTTTGAGACGATCCACCACTTGTGGTGGGCATGCCCAAAGTCGCGCAAGTGGTGGGACTAGTGGTTCGCACACTGGAAGTTCTGATCTGGGAGAGATGATTTCGCGGGGGAAAGATGGTCCTACTGGGGGCATTGCCAGAAGAGGTACCCGCTGACAGAGGCTGGGGCTTTGTGGTCATGCTCTGGGTTATATGGCTGGACCGTAACAACTTGAGATTTCAAGGGCAAGGGCTACAGGAAGCACAGGCGGAATGGATATTCAAAAGGCTTCTAAAAGATGAAATTTGCGCAGACTGGCGAAGGAAAGCCAAGAAGGGAAGAAGCACAGAGGGGCTGCGCTGGTTCAGAAGGACCTGGTGCCAGAAGGAAGGGGTGTTAGGAGTGTCCAGGGAAGGATTTCTGAGGTTTTCAGAACGGTGGGACCCAGTAGGGTAGGCACTGGTAATTAGAGATAAGGGAACCTGAGATTAGTGTAGGATAGGTTAGATGGGGATAAGCTTGGTGGTTGTGTGGCTTTCTTGGCCTTGTGGGCATGTTGTTGAAGAACCAGTGCACTGGGTTCGGCTTTGAATAGGGGTGGGTGGTGGTAGAGGGCTGTAATGATTTGGGAGCGGCTGCTCCAATCGGCCGCTTTGGGCTGATGTCAGGCCGAAGGTAGGCCTGTCCTTAGACATATAATGAGAGACGGTTAAAGGGGGCCCAAATATTTGCCGTTTTCGATGGCAATTGCGGTGCGAATTTCATCAAAATTTTTAAAAACAAACGATATGAGACCATAGTGCAACCATACAAAAAGGAAACAGGGCAAAAAAAACGGAAAAAAAAAACACACACACACTATGAAACCCTAACACAAAGACACTGTCCGAGTCAAAATGACGCGTCCAACGAATTCAACAAAATTCAATTCGGTGCAAAATTCGTCGAAAATAACACCCCTGGTTAACCACGTGTGACCCGAAAACCCGAAATCCATCCAGGCAAATCCGCCGTCACATGCAACCCTTTTTGCCTGGAAGGATTCCCCGCGAAACCACACGCCAGTCCCACACGAAGCGTCCGCACGCACACACTGTTTCTGCAAGATAGCTGGGAAACGAGTTTGTGGGGCACGGCAGTTGAGTTTGTGGGGCAGTTGAGTGACCCAAATCCTGCCGTGCAGTACTCGTGATCCCACGGTCAGTATTTTACTTGTATTACCCGAAAAAGTAAGCAGATCTTCGTTCCCCTCCTCCTCTCCTTAACACTGGGCATGCCCATGCAATGAAAGCTTCCCGCCAGAATGGGGTGTGGCCAACCCCAAAGGAGGGTGGGATCGGCCTTAGGCCCTCTGGATAGAAGATTTTCAGTCTTTTGCTTGCTGCTGTGCAATTATCTCATTGGGTAGAGCCCTCCTTCAATCACGGAGTATATGGAGGGTGTCAGGATCACTGCTGACAGAAGTCGAGTTTATTCCAGAAAAATGTGGCCTTTTACTTTGTTCACTGTTGATGCAACCACCACCATCAGATCATTTGTGATCTGATGGACGGGAGGTCTCTGTTTCTTTTTTCTTCTTTTGCCTTTCTCCTGCTTTCTCAGTCCAGAAATTTGTAATGAACCTGTCAGCCTGCTGCTACTCAGTGTCACACTGGATCACTGGATCGGCCAAACTCCTATCCGACTGCTAATGGGACCATGCTCCTATCAGCCTGGTGGTCTGAAACTGCAGGTTCCCAAAAAAGAAAAAGAAAAGAAAAGAAACTGCAAGCAAAGATTGAGAGAAGAATATAGATTACTTTTAAACCCATTACGGATTCGTTTTTTTTTTTTTTTTTTTTTTTTTTTTTTTTTTTTTTTTTCGGAAGTTGTCACATTATATTCCGAAAGGATAATAGTGGTCGAGGCCGGGGACCTCACAATTCTACCCGGGGTTACCAGAGAGAACCACTTTGCTGGAAACTGGGTCCAGCGTCCCAAAACCACTAACCTCTCAAAAAGGAACCAATTACTTCCCAAAAGTAATCTTGAAGCTCAGAAAAGGTGGCTGAATCAGATAAAAAATTAAACTGTCTCAAATCGTCCAGCCATTTATGTTCTATCAACAACATAATATTCCATCATTTTTATTTTTATTTTCCTTATATTCTTCTCTCATCTATCTCATTTTTCTTGATAGTACGCATCTATCTCATCCTCTTACTATTCTATATATAGTATGGGGGAACACCAACCAACCCGGATCCCTCCCCAGCCCACAGGGTAGGTTGGCACCACAGCTGTGGTGCGAGGGCAAGGCTGTACCAGTCCCTCATCACGGTGACGAGGGGTGGGCAGGCATTGCCAATGGGGGAAATCGGCGGTGCTAGCGYCGGGCAATGGCCAGTCACTGCACCTCCCCCTACCCCCCCCCAACCCCACATGGCGGTGTCTAATGGTCAATATTGTCGCTGCATAGCAGCCAACAACATCAGCCAAGGTCCTGCCAATGCTGGCTTGGGGGGCAGACGGGTTATCTCTAGCTGGTAGAACACCAAGCTTGCCCAGGCACATCGTGAGGCCATTGGGGATTGAACCCACGACCTCCTGAATGCAACTTCTGTGCCTTACCAACTGAGCTAGGCCCGCAGGCCTTCATATTTACCGTATTCCATTCAGCAAGACCTTAACTCACAGACCGCTGCCTACTTCACCAACAACATCCAGCTCAGATTATCCCCATGTCAGTCATGGGTGTCTGATAGCCATGTACAGATGACCATTCTGCCCTCCTGATTTATTGAGGCTAAAAGGTTACCTCTCACCCATGTCTTGCTGAACCTTTTTTTTTTTTTTTTTTTGAAACCATGCCCCCGCCAGTGTTAGTGGTGCTGATAAGAGCAGCCACCACTAGCACCTGGGGAGAGGCTCCATCTATTGGTGGGGAGCATCACCTTGCTGGAAAACGGGTCCAGCGTTCCATATATCCGGCGCCGGGTTCAGGGTGAAGATGTTCCCCCTTTCCTCCTTATATCCTGCTCAGTCAATCCCCTGGATTCCAGGGCAATCAATGCTGGCAGGATCCCCCCCGGGACAGTTTCTTTTCTGATGTCTTGCTGAACCATATGAAGTTCTTCCAGAGCCAATCTGCACGTATAATAAGTCTTATATTCATTTTGATACGTGCCTGCTGTTGGCTAAGTGACATAGTTTCTCCTCTAAAAATGCAGGCGTTCCTTGCTGCCCATATTGTATCCATTATGACCCCTCTGTATACAGCCAGGTAACCAAGCTCGGAGTTGTAGTTCAGGGTTGTCAGAAGGAGACCTGTCAGCATCCATGTATCCGTCCAGTCGAAGGCCCCTCTAGAAATATTAGCCCAGTGCCTTTTCCACCAGATGAAGGAGTTCATCTGCAAGTGGGCAGTATAACCACAAATGGAGCATATTCTCCCAGCCCCAGCTGCATCTCAGGCACTGGGTAGGAATATCCATCCCTTTGTCCGAAAGCCATACCTCTGTTGCGATAACCAGCATTGATTGCAGCCACATTAAGCTCGCATGCTTTTGCACTGGGTTTTTCATTAGCCCTTTCCAGAAGGAGCATAGCTTGTGTTGTGACCCCTTCAGTATTCTGAGATCTTGTGCGGCTAGCCGCCTTTGACGCCGCTGATTTCTTGATCTGAGTTTGCTGGAGCTGGACTCCCTGTTTGGTTTGGTAGTGTAAAAGCGGAGTGAAACTCTCCTTTGATCCGTTCTTCTGAATGTCCCAGCCAATTAAGAAGGGTTCAATTTTAAAGGAGTTTGCATCCCTTTCCAGTTTAGCCTTGTCCTTCTGTCTAGTTGGGTCTTGAATGCTAACTCGCAGTTCTGTCAGGTGTCTGGAATTGTTCAGCCTGCTTTCCCCCTCTTCCAGTCTTAACTGACCACTGTCAGGGGATAAACCCATTACGGATTCTAACGATGTCGTATTGCCTTTCCCGCGTGCATATCTGATTCTGACGATGAATTCTCCCGCCCTTTTCGTATTGCCTTATGAATTCTCCCACGCTGTCGAATTCCCGCGCATTCATCCTGCGCTTTCGAATTGGCAGTGTCTCCCGCCTCAGGCGATACCCGACTAGAATTTTCTCGGCTCAGCTGTGTACATAATTGCGGTCAGGTACATCCAGACTCGAATTTTCTCGGCTCAGCTGTGGACATAATTGCGGTCAGGTACATCCAGACTCGGCCGTAGTCCCCCACAGGTACATCTGGAAACGTCCTCGGGTCAAAAAAAGAAAAAGAAAAGAGAAACGGCCTCCTGCGAGTATGGCCATTGCTGCACAACTCACCAAATGCACCAAAGACAAAAAAGATGACTCGCGTATCTTTCCACGTTCTGCACGCAGATTTGTTCTCATTCTGGACATGTTGCTCCCATGCTTTCATTGATGAGTTGAGCGAAGGTCGCGAAAGCAGAAGCGAGAAGGGCCAGGAGTTTTGTAAGTCAGGGCCTACTCGCCATCCGCCAACATTTTGAACGCATCAGGATGCCGTTTTGCCCAGATGCATTCAAATTGTTGGCGTATGGCGAGTCGTGCAACTGCCGGTAGGCCCTCAATAAGAAGGGAATCATAGCTTGCATGGGATGTAAGGTGCAGTTGGAGAAGCTGGAGCCGTAAGAAGGCATTCAGGAACAGACACATCCATCCTCTCTTGGACCAACGAGTGGTGGGACTCTTCGATAGACGAAAGAGGGCAAGAGGGGGCGACGACGACTTCTACAGCCGACGCCATTTCAGACTCTGCATCATTCCGTCTTCTTTCGCCATCGCCGGTTCCGTTCCGATCCGTGCAATTGGGGTGGTGCTCGCTCGATCGGCCGCCGAGTTCGACGGAAGCTAGCGAAGGGTAAAGAGACGACGACGAAGGTGAAGATGGCTATGGCGGCTAGTTCATGCCGGCGACTTGGCCAACGGCTGGAGCTCGCTGCCGTGATCATCGTCGTGACCTTCTTCTTGGACGGTGGGCCTCGCGCGGCGATAGCGCAGGGAGGCAAGGACGCCAGCGTGTTCAGGATCCTTCAGAACGAGGCCCAATTTTCCATGTTCTACAAGGCGCTGCTAGATACCACGGAGATCTGGAACGTGGAGGGTCGCACGCAGATCAACGGCTCCCAGCTACTCCTCTTCGATCCCACCAACGCAACGCTGACCGCCGCTCTGCCTGGTGGTGTACTGCAGTGTCTTTAGAGCGAAGGAGGCAAGCCGGTCTTCATCGACTTCTTGATGTATCTTCAGGTCGTCGTTCCCATCTCACCGAGGGTGGAATCCGTGCAAGATCTGCTGAACGTGAGCAGAGAAGGCAAGCTGTGGACTGTGAATGGCAAGGCCATCTCCGTCAGTCAGCAGGCGAGCGGCTCAATCACTCTCACGGGAGATGACGGCCAAGAGACGCTGACCATCGAGAAGGCTAGAGTCGCAGACCCGACAGTGACACTTATTGCACTGGAGGAGAGTGTCCTCGTCAACGGGGAAACTGGGGACAAGATCTTGGACACGTGTTTTGCCGACGAGGGGTTGAAGCCATCCACCGCGCCGCCACCCTCCAGCCGTGCCCTGCCATCGTCGGCGCGATCTTCCGCACACGCTTCCGCCTCCTCGCGCACCGCGCCGGCGAGTGGTGCTGCACACGCTTCCGCTTCCTCGCGCGCTGCACCTGCGAGCGGTCCCTCCAAGCGCTCGAGGATGTTGCTGTACTAAAAAAGTACATCGTCCGTCGTGGTGACGCTTCATGCAGTCACATTCTTTTTTCGATGTTTTCTTTTTTAACGCACACACATTCTTCGGAATCGTAGTAGTACGATTTGCTTTTACTTCTCTTTTGATTAGCATTTCCACATTTCATTTACTGTTTCCACATTACGCCTGTTATCTGGCGAAAAATAAAGCGTATGTATTCGGTCAGGTATTTAGAATGTATACGCATGCACACACTTGCTTTACACAAGCACGGAGCTTTTCCGCCTCCTCCGCGGCCGAGTGCGGGACGCTTTTTTTTTTTTTTGAGGGTACTAAATAAAAAGCCCACAGCTCTTTCCGATGACCTTGCGCATCTCGTCTTTTGCATCTGCGTCCCAGGAGAATACGATGAGGAGCTCGTTACCGACAATGTAGGTAATACTATGCTCCAGTGCAGGGTGGTGATAGGGGTGGGATTCGATCCTCCGCTCTAGGAGAGAAGTCTCCGGGATCATTCAGGGTAAGGGTCAGATCCCACTACCCTGGATTATTCATTTTTCACCCTCGATTACGAAGATCAACGGTCAGAACTGAACAATAGGGGCTAGTGGGATCTGGCCCTAAGTCACGCTACACGACGAGGAGATATCAAGTCAGTAGTAGTCTTTCTCGGGACAATGTGGGTGATATGCTCCATCATTGCATGCTTTCTCGACATTTTTGCAGTGATCACTCACTCGAATAGGAAGGAGCCTCAGAGATTCTCCCACGCATATGGGCGGTGAACCTGCAACGTAATAATAATGGAGGCAGATAGATTACGCCTACCCCAAAACCTATCAGGGGTGGGCTTGATCTACCTGTACCTGTTTTCCCAACAGTGATATTTCTTCCGGCTCTTGTTGGGTCCTCCATCGTCTTGAAAGTTGGGTGATTTGACCTCTTTCTTTTTTTTTCTTTTTTCTTTTTTTTTGCAACCCGCACGGATCTACACACTATGGGGAGTGATATGATCGCCCCCCCCCTAGTAATAGTACGTTGATTGATTGGACCTCGATTTGCTGTCGCTTTGCAATCCTCTTAATGAGCTAGATAATTTACGACAAGGCTTTCGGAGTGACGATAGTACATGTTATGAACGCGTTTCATTTGCGTGTGAAGTTCCCTTGGGGTTTGCAGATCAGGCAGGGGAGACCTGGAGGGAGGGAGGGAGGGAGGAGGAGGTGTGGAGAGGGTCTCAGATTCGGAGAGGGGCTCAGATGAATCGCTGGGTGAATGAGAAGTTCATATCTTATGAATCTCGCTGGCAGAAGGAAGATTTCATTTCTCAATTTGGTGAAAAGATAAAAAAAAGTTGAGTTCATTAAATTATTATCCAGATATCTTATGAATCTCGCTGGCAGAAGGAAGATTTCATTTCTCAATTTGGTGAAAAGATAAAAAAAAGTTGAGTTCATTAAATTATTATCCAGATTTATTCTGCGTAACGTAGTTGTTTCTTCCCAGAATCTGAATTTCACGATTTGGCTTTTTTTTTCCGCAGGCACCTTACTTGGCCGGTGCCTGGCCCGGCCGCACGGCCAGCCAAGGTAGCCCGACGGCCTGGTTCGTAGCACAGCTGTATGGGGAAATGAGAGCTTTTTTTTGTTTTTCAGCTCTATAAAAAAAAAACAAAAAAAAAACCTCCATGCAGTCTCACATGATTGCCCGCGCTTTAGGCCTCGCTCCATCACTCACCAGATGTGAAGAGGCCAAGAATATGCCTGCTGTATCTTTCCAGGTTCTGGAGGAACTCTCATTCTTCAACCGTCATTTCTTTCCTTCCCCTCTTTCATGTTCTCGTCTTTCTTTTTTTTCACTTCCCTTAAATTCGTTTTGGCCTGTCACTACCTACCAACCACTACTCCCAAGGGTATATAGAGGTACTCGTGTTGCCCCTGCTGTTTCCATATATGTTTCGCCCCCCCCCTCCACCCCTGACATTTGTGGGTTTTTGAGAATGCCCGTGTCTGTGCATGCTGGAGGAATTCGAGGGATGTTGGGGGGAGGAGGGGGCGAATTCGGTGGTGTCATGTGACTTTATACCCCCCCCCCCAAAAAAAAAAATTAAGGGGTTGTGGGTGGTTTGCTGGTCCGTGTGAGTAATGCCCTTATGCTTTGCAATGCCCTTATGCTTTCTCTCAACATCATCAACTCATCCATGAAGGGGCAACTTCAGTAGAGTCACAAAGAAAACGAGTTATAATTGCAGTATGGGGCAAGATACAGTTTGCAATTGCACTTCGGGCACCCTACCTGGCCAGAAAGTTGGGTTGTATACATTGCCCGAACTGGAATTCCAAACTGTATCTTGGCCCGTAGTGCAATTATAACTCATTTTCGTGACTCCTGCGTAGTTTCCCCCTTTTTGTTTGTAGCATGCAAATTGAGATGGAACCATAGTAGTGCATCCAAAGAAAGATAATATCATGTTGTTGAATGACTAAGGGTGGGATGGTCTTAGAGGGGGTGAATGCAGCCTAAGAATCGAAACTCCCAGGGACAGTTATACACAAAGGTGGGATAGGTCATCAGGCTCGGGTTGGGGGAGTGGCAACAAAATAAAACCAATGACCAGGGTTGTCGACCCCCGGCCCCGGGACCCCGCCGGGGTTCCGGGGTTCCGGGGGTCGGCACCCGGGACCCCGGCCCCCTGTATGGGAAAAAAAAAAACAAAAAAAAAAACAAAAAACAGAGGGGGGTGCGCACCGCCGGCGTGCAGCCCCTGACATTTTTTGTGTCCTGCAAAAAATGCCCCGACACGGGGTCCCCCCTGGGGGCGCGGACCTCCCTTGGCGGGAGCGGGGTTGCCGCAGCGCAGGGGCGGGGATGTGCTGGCGGGCATCTGTGTCGGGGTTGCGGAGCCGGTGGTGCGGTGGCGGGGGTACCCTGCGGGGCAGTGGGGTTGCGGGGTTTGG